AGAGTTGGAGAGACAGGGATTGGACCTAAGTCCAGAAAGAGGGTAAGTGCTGGAAAGGTGGAGCTCCGGCCTAGGGAATCAATCCCTAGGCCTGATGGGTAGGACAGACTTAGGTGGACCAAAGTCCGAGAGAGGATTGGGCAAGTCTAAGTTGATATTCAAACTAAGGAAACTACAGGAGTATCTACAGGGGTTATATACTGGAGACTATCTGAGGGGATCAGTAAGCAAAGGAGCAAGGCTATGTATGAGCATGTGGAAACACATTAGTAAGTAAGACGGAGCATAAGTAAATGAACTCAGAGATGAAGACTTGTACAAGGATCAATAAGCAAGACAGAAGAAGAGGTAACTGAAAGCCGGAAAGCAGAGAATGCCTAAATGGGGATAGGCGCAGGATATCAGACAGAGGGTGGGAATAGGTCCAGAGATCTGGGGATCTGGAAGACAAGGTGGATACAGGACCAGGATATGAGAAGGTGGATAGAGTCCAGAATCCAAGACAAGGTGAAGTCTGGATGTCTTGCTGGATGGAGTGTACATAGGGTGGATGGGACAGGGGGTTATGGTTCAGGCTAGCAGTGGAGATCTGATGGTCTGGAGCTCAGGGGTAAATCCAGAGCGTAGTCGATCCTGCTGAGGTGTGGAGCACACAGCAGAAGGGGATCTGGGAATGAGTTGGATATGAAGTGTGGTCCGGACGTAGGCTTGGAAGGCGTGGGAATATGATGGAACGTGGGTCCAGATTGTGGGATATGACAGGCTCCCCCAATCCTGAAACAGTGGCCTGACAACTCAGGCAGGTCTGCCCTCTTCCAAATCTCATTGCAGTGGTTCAAGAACCATGTATGTGTCATGGGGGCCCAACTCTTGGTGTCAGTTTCAAAGGCAAAGAATGGTGCATCACCTGGGACTAACTTGTTCACTGAAAAGTGGTGATTGAGGGCTGAAACAAGATTCAACTGATCATTTACCAGGGATGCTACTAAATTCACTCCTTTGCCATGTGTAGTCTTTGTCCAAGGTATGGTTAGGATGATAAAATGGACACTGGTAGTAGTGACGCCACAGCAAAGGGGAGATGAATGTGAGATGTGATGAGAGGGAATGAAGGCATTAGCTAAGTCTACAACCAATTCTCCAAGCCTGAAGAGGTTGAGAAACAGATTACAGAGTAAAAAGAAACAATCACACCTGCAGCAAGATCAGAAAGCAGTCGCTGTGACAGCCAAAACAGATGTATTGAAGATGTTTGACAAGTCAAGAAAGCAGAACAAGGCATGCATGTGCTCAAGGGTGACAGGTGGGTGGCAAGGGTGTTTGGATGAAGGTGGAACAACTTTTGTGAGCCCTGAGGTAGCCATGCACACCAAAGTATGACTGTGTGTTAAGAACCATGTTGCTCAAGGGGGAGAGAGACTGACTCAGAGGGGCTTGGCCTCAGCTCGTATGCTATGCCCCTTACCCGAGTATGTGCCCTTCATTTCATATGAGGTCCAAGGATGGTCCAATGAAGTCTGGAGGCTGGCTACTCTGCTGGAGAGTGCTAGAGGACTTCCGGAGGAGCGCAGGAAATGTCCGGAGGAGCATGGGAGAGTTCTGGAGGAACACAGGAAGTGCTCAGGAGAGTTCCCACTGCAAGGTAATACTTCTACAGGAAACAGGGTGGAAGGATAGGAGGTCCAAAGGTCCGGAGGACAGGAGGACAGGAGGGCAGGATGATGGAGGACAGAAGGACAGGATGTCTGGAGGTATGAAGGACAGAATGTCTGAAGGTACAGAGGGCAGGATGTCCAAGGGTTAGGAGGATGGAATGTCCAAGGGTTAGGAGGACAGAACGTCCGAAGGTACAGAGGGTGGAACATCTGAGGGTTAGGAGGATGGAATGTCCAAAGGTATGGAGGGTGGAACATCCGAAGGACAGGATGCCTGGAGGTACAAGGGACAGGAGGTCTGGAGGTCCGGAAGGAATAGGGGCTACATCAGATGGAGTCCGATGTAGAAACAAACAGAGGTAGAGTTGGAGAGACAGGGGTTGGACCTAAGTCCAGAAAGAGGGTAAGTGCTGGAAAGGTGGAGCTCCAGCCTAGGGAATCAATCCCTAGGCCTGATGGGTAGGACAGACTTAGGTGGACCAAAGTCTGAGAGAGGATTGGGCAAGTCTAAGTTGATATTCAAACTAAGGAACTACAGGAGTATCTACAGGGGTTATATACTGAACAATATCTGAGGGGATCAGTAAGCAAAGGAGCAAGGCTATGTATGAGCATGTGGAAACACATTAGTAAGTAAGTCGGAACATAAGTAAATAAACTCAGAGATGAAGACTTGTACAAGGATCAATAAGCAAGACAGAAGAAGAGGTAACTGAAAGCCGGAAAGCAGAGAATGCCTAAATGGGGATAGGCGCAGGATATCAGACAGAGGGTGGGAATAGGTCCGGAGTTAATATCTGGAGGTCCGGAGATCTGGGGATCCGGAAGACAAGGTGGATATAGTCTGGAATCCAAGATGAGGTGAAGTCTGGATGTCTTGCTGGATGGAGTGTGCATAGGGTGGACAGGATAGGGTTGTACAGATCAGGCTAGCAGTGAGGATCCAGAGGTCCAGAGCTCAGGGATAAATCTGGAACATAGTCGATCCTGCTGAGGTGTGGAGCACAGGGGATCTGGGAATAAGCTGGATATGAAGTGGGGTCTGGATGTAGGCTCAGAAGGTGTGGGAATATGATGGAACGTGGGTCTGGATTGTGGGATATGACACTGTGCCATGGTGCTCCATGCAAGTTGTGCCAGAAGTGTATACCTGCAAGCCAATTTTGAACAGTGGATCCAGCTACTTTCCCTGCCCAGGAGGCTATGAATGATATAAGAAGGTGATCAGGAGCCGGCATGCAAAGAGACTCAGGAATCCTCCTTGAATCACAGTACTGATGGAAGCACAAGAGACCAGAACCATAGTTCTCATGTGTCTTGACTTCAATTGAGATAAGCATCACATCAAGATGTTTCAAGATGTCCCCATAGGGCAAGTGACCAAGAACAGAAGCATGGAATGAAGATGTATGAGGTGCTGACCAGAGGTGAACACAATTGCATGCAAGAACATGTGGTCAAAAAGAGGAATGATCAATGGTATTGTTTGTTTTTGCTTTTCATGGCTTAGGTGATTTGCAAGCAAGAGAGGGCAGGTCTCCTACCAAGGGTGGTCTTGCCAAGGCCTCCTTGAGTAGAACCAGACTTGCTGTGACATCAGCACCTGCTTATGTTGGTCTATGAGGCGTGCTAGACATAATTGATGATGAAGGATTGGAGCTCCCCAGGGAGTGTGATTGACAGCAAATGAAGAACAGGTGGTCCAACCTCACCATGAGAGATCTTGTCTACCTTGTTCCTTTCAGATTCGACATAAATGAGAGTGTGTGAGATGTTCAACACCATTGTCATAGACTCCACCCTGTGGATACACAAGTTAACTTGAAAATTGCAACTCCTTCTGTGCTGAAAGGCACCAATGATTCCCTGGTTATCTGAATGTATGAGTATGATGGTGTTGCACCAGCCAGAGTCAAAGAGGGTTCTCACTGTGAGCTCAACAGCAATGGCTTCAAGCCACCTAATGTCTCTGCCTTGACTCTTCCACCCTGTGCATAGCATCCATGCATTCCATTTGTCTCCCAAGGTGAGACCTATTCCTCAGTCTGTAGATCCATTGACCCACAGATCAAGATCTTGTGGGTCTCCCCTTGGGACAAGGGATTGAGGTAATGGTGTGTGGTTCAGAACATTTAGCCACCATTTGAGGTCTGAAACCATGGATGCATGTGGGAAGTGTGAAGCATGTTTTGAAGGGAACTCTGCTATGAAGGATGAGAGGTTGGTGAGGTAAGTGCACCCATGTGGGATTATGAAGGCAATGTGAGAAAGAGTTCTGTTCATACTCATGGCATCTTTGCACATCATGCATCTCCTGCTCAGTACAGAATCTAACAGCATGATGAATTTGTTTCAATACTTTTGATGTTTTGTATCAGGTAGCATGACTGTGTGCAGGATGAGGTCCCACAAGAAGCTGAGGTAGATGAAGATGTAAGCAAAGTCTGTACACTTCCTGGGGTACCAGGGCACCCCAAGTGGGCAAGACCCTTCATGTATCTGCTGAAGTCTGTGAGTGTAAATGAACAGTGAGCATGTCCCATTCTCTAGTGTCTTTCCACCTCCAGATGGGAACCTGAAGAATAAGTGGTCATCTACCCACTTTTGATGGGACCAAGGTCCATCCTGTGTAGAATGTCGACGGTCGCATCTGCAATGTTACCTTGGACTCCTCTGGCAGTGGAGAGTCCAAATGGGAAGATGTGATCAATGAAAAAGTTTCCATTGACTTTGATGATTAGAAAGCATTTGTGTGGTGGCCACACAGGAATGGTGTGATAGGCAGCTTCAATATCTAATGTTACTGCTTGAGTGCCCAGAGGTGCTGAAGCCACCTACAAGTGAAATGAGCAAATGATGAAGTGGGGTGAATTTTGAGTGAAATGACATCAGAGGTGGGAAGTGTGGGCAAAATGAAGTACCTGGCACTGAAATGGTAGGGTGAAGGCAAAAGAAGGAGTGAGGAAGGTCTTGTCTGAAGCAAGAAAGAATACAACACCCAAAGGCAAGGCAAGGTCAACGTGTACAGTGAGGGGACCTGTTGGAAGTGCCAATGCAGAAGCCAAGGCAGGAGGGTCAAATACCCCCCCCACTCCCAATCAATGTTATGGGGTATGAACAAAGGCTAAAGCCAGAATGAAACAAATGAAGGCATAGAGGAACGAAGTCCTCAAGAACACTAACAGTGATCCTGCAGAGGGGTGGGAAGCACTGAATGAATGAAGGGCAAAAATGTACAATTTCAGTGACTTGGGCAGCCATGCCCCATTCAGTCAGAAAATTGTCCAAGTCCAGGAAGCCATTGATGGAGAAACCATCAGTGTTGCAGTATGATAAGTCTCAGATGACTCTAAACTTTCCAGGTTCTCCAGATTTTTTGACAATGCCAAGGGGTGAGGATGTGAAGTGGCCTCCCAAAATATTTTGAACTTCAGCCTCAGAATGAGGGCCAGACATGTGGCCAAGGGCAACTTTGTCTTTGCAGTAGGAGCAAATAACATCAAGATGATCAAGAGCTGATTTGTGGTTATTTGGGGTGTAGGTTTTGGTAAGAGGCGGTGTGACAGTCAAGTTTTCCTTGGGCTTAGATTTACTTACTTTCATTACCTTTACCTACCCCCACTTTCTTTAGCTTATATAAGCATCACCTCTTACCTTTCACTCTTTACCTGTAGTCTAAGACTAGCAGTTTTATGATGATTTCTCTCCTCTCTGAGCTCAGAGTCTAGTACAGAAACCCTTGTGGGTCGAATAGCAGCTAGGTACAGCACTAAAGACCCAACATATTGGCCAGGTACTTTACCAAGTATCTAGCCAAGTTGTGTTACTCACAACTGGAGCCCACCGTGAGGGGGCCATTTGAAGCTGGAAGGCAGATCACTTAGGTCAAATGAAACCTGAGAGCTTTGTGCACTTGCAGACATCTCACAAGAAGACTTTTTCTACCTGGTACTTCAGAACATTGAAGAAGAAACCAAAGCAGGACCATCCAACTCACATACCTGTTCCTCTTCAGAAGCCTCTGTTATCTGGAACCTCGCTTCCAACTCACCCCTAACAGAACCAGAGTCTGAGAGGGAAGACACTCACTTCCCCAGATCATTCAACCATTCACTACCCCAAGTCCCATTCATTACTTTAGACACTCCATCCACTGAATCATCACTTACCCCTTTGAATCCTACCTGCGACCCATCACCTGAAAGGCAAAACCTGTTCACACCCACACCCTTCCTACCCATAACCACTTCCTCCCCATGTAGACATTTAGCCATGCTCCCGCCTACTTTACCCAACCCCACATGCCATACCCCTTCAGCCCCACAAGGTCCTGCACCATCTCAAACCCCTATTGCACAACCCACAGCCATGACTACCCCATATAAAATGCCTCTCCAAGGAACCAATGTGGCACCCAAATTCGATGGAATGCCTGCATGGCTACTCCCATTTTTTGAGGACATGGAACAACTGGCTGACTATGCTAATCTAGATCAGGAAAAGCACACCAAGGCAGTGCTTTGATATGCACCTATCAGTGAATCAGAAACTTGGGCATGCAGGCCTGCTGTTACAGTTCTATCTTTTTCCTTTCACCTCTTCACTTATTCACAATCACTAATCATTCTCAGACATTCTATGACATTCTATCATATGATTCTCTTTTCTCTTTTCTGATTCGCTATTTACTTTCCATCTCTGATTCATTTATTAAAGCTCCGCTTTAATTCCTTTATATATACTCTACCTTTTACGCTTGTATTCTTTAACTTGACCTATGCAGACCAGGGCCTGCAATATACTGCTTAACTCGCATGACTCGTACATAGGTGTACGCTTTAGATCATTTGTTTCCATCTAGTCGTTCTTATGAATGCCAAGCATAACACCTGCAGCCAAAGGGAATGATTGGAATAAGTTTGTTGATGTTATAAAGGCTATGTATCCAGGATGTGACAATGACTGCCACTACACCTGTACTGACCTAGAGAACCTCTGCATGGAACAAGCCTGCATCCCAATACGCTCCAAGGAAGAGTTAGGGCAATACTACCACAACTTCCTCAAAGTCTCACAATACCTAATCAACAAACAATGGTTAGCAGAACTAGAATGTGGTAGATTTTTCCTCCAAGGGGTCCACTCAATGGCCAATGCAGCTATCAGGTGAAGGCTTGAAATAAAACTTGTCACTCACCACCCAGATGACCCATACACATTATATCAGGTATATGAGGCCACAGTTTTCTTATTACCTAGCATCACATCCACTGCAGTACCCATCCAACCACCAGTGCAGTCCTCTGCAACTATGACCCAAGCAACTGCACCTTCTACACCCACCCCACAACCTAATGCGGGGACCATGGTAAAGAAGGAATACAGCCAACCATGGTATAATGGTTGTTACTTTTGTGGAGGAGACCATTTTATGAAGACTTGCATGACATGCGACAAGTATGCAAGGGAAGGTAAGATAAGCATCACCTCTGATAACAAGATTGTTATGCCTGATGGTTGTGGTATTCCTGGAAGGCAGGGAGACAGAAACTTCAAGCAGCACATTGATGAATTCTTGCATAATGGGCCTGCAATGGGTGACAACACTACAGTTCTCAGTAACATGTACTGTCATGCTGAACCAACTGTCCAAGCAGCACTTGATATTGAGCCTTGCGCATTCATGCACACATGCACTGACATCCAGGAAGATGTGAGCGAAGACGACAAAGAACTGACACACCTTGAACAAGAAGCTACCAGAGCCCATGAAGTGTTTGCAGTGGTAAAAGTGGATCATGCTAACCACAAAGTAGACAAAGGTAAAAACATGCGGTTTGAGGGCGTCAATGTACCACCACATCCCAAGCCAGGTCCATCATCAAGAACCACTGACACAGTAGAAGAAGTAGTTTCCCTGCAGGTAAAGGCATCTGGGTCAAAGGCCACTAGTACCCCTAATAAAGGCATGGTGGTTGTGACACCCATGGGTTCTTCAACCACACCCAGTATGGCCTCCTCATCTTTGAATCCCACGACCTCTTCTTCATCCTATGAACCGCCGGCCACCAACCAACCCTCAATGCAGTTCAGATACTCCTTCCTGCTGGAAGACAAGGATGTGGACAAGCACATAGTTGACTGCATGCTAGACTCTACCATCAGCATACCTATGTGTGAATTAATAGCAGTATCCACTGATGTCCACAAGGTATTCAAGGAAATGACCACAACCAAGCACATTACGGTAGGGACTATCTCAGTCAATGAACTAGGTAGCACACCAGGAACGCAAGATTTTCTGAAGAAGTACAATGGCTGCCTGCAAAGGAACAATGATGGACACATTGTGGCTGAACACTTCAAATCCTTGAGATGTATCAGAGTGGTGACACTTCACAGCCAGGTCCTCTCCTGCATCCTTGACCAAGGCACAGAGTACATCATAATGCCACAATCTGTCTGGCACACACTGGGTGGTATTCTGCTAAGATCTGACCACAAGCTAACCATGGAGTCCATTAATACTTCAACCAATGAGACACTAGGAGTAATAGAGAATCTCCCACTAGACTTCGGCATGGGAGAAATGCTATTCCAAGTTCAGGTTGTTCCAACTGCTAACTTTGACATCTTGCTAGGGCGCCCATTCTTTATGCTCACCAGTTGCTGTACAGAAGATCTTCCTAACAGAGACCAGGATATCATGCTGATGGACCCAAATTCAGGGAAGGTAATACACATCCCTACCATGTGTTGGGTAAAGAAATGTCCAGGTTGTGAAGCCAGCACACACTCCCTCAGGTGCGTGCAAGAAGGGTTTTTGATGATTGATGATTCACACAATATGTGAGGAGACAAATGGACAATTTCCTACCCACCACTCTCTCTTATTTCTCATTCTACTACATTACTTCCTGGTTCTAATTTTCATCTCACACCAACCACACAATACCCACTCTTATGGAGCAAACATGCCTTATTTTCCTTTTCACCCACACAGTTCTCAGCACACTATAATCATCTTGTATCTACACACTCGATCATTGACCATACATCCATCAACACATTTAACAGTGTATATTCTTTTGACAAAACCTGACATGCACTGGTTTATAAGCCAGTCGCAAAGAAGGTCCGCATGGTGCAAACCACAATGCCACCTGAGTATAGAATCATGAGAAGATTACCCGATGACCCATTGGCCAGCATGCCCCAATTGCCAACCCACCTGCCTGACTTTGTCCCAGGTATCTGCTTCACCCAAGAAAGAGCGAGCGAATTGGACTTAGACCCCACTAACTGGTTATGGCCAGAAGAGCTTAAGCTTATATGCTGGCTCATCTGGACACATGAATTAGTGTTCACATGGGACATGACCAAGTGCAGTCATCTCAATGAAACCTATTTCCCTCCTTACAAAATTCCTACCATCCTGCTGTAGGGAATGAGATTCCTCCAGGTGTAGATTGCCCATATTACAACTCACAACAATTGGTATAGTGTGCAACTCACTATCTATGACTTTCCTGTGAAACACGCCAGAGGCGCGATGCTTTCCCACACTATGCGACGCATTCCCACGCACGCGCTTAGTGCGCTCTTCCCACGCTTGGTCGCACTTTGTCACACAGCATCCAGGAGCCTCCATCCATTGTCCAACCAGTTCCCTGGTGCATCCCTTTTCATTCATTTTCATTATCAGACCATTTCTGGGATTGTACAATACTTTATTTCATTATGGACCCTTACTTACATCATTTTGCATACATAGAGCGCTCCCTATTTGCTTCCGAGCCCTGGGAGCACGCCTAGGCACAGCTTACCTGTTGCCTAGGAAGTTTTACCACAGATACACCAACCACCATCATGTCTAGTAGCGTCTAGCAGTCAGAATGCATCACCATGAGTTAGCATCTATCAGAGTCATTGCCCTAGTCTTCAGCAGCAGCCTATCATCATCTTTTACATGTTTGCACACTGTGTGCGCCTTATTCCCACGCTTCGCACCCTTATGCGCTTGACATTCCTGTGTGCATGCTCCCAGCGTGTTTCACCAGAGTTGACCTGGTGTCACTCTGTGGATTTGCTTTCCTTGCTTCCCCTAAGGGTTGAACAAATTGCTCGGCGCACTTTGACCAACACATAGAGAGTCAGTAGCTTTCCTCTCACCCCAGAGTGAGAGCCCTCTTTCTTTCTTTTGCTCTGCAAGCCTAGCAGAGCTGTTGAACCTTCACCACACACTCCCTGGTCTCAACACAATATCCCTATACTGCTGGCAACCCTTGGAGAAGTTATTCACGTCATCAAAGAGAAGATCCAGTCCAGTGTTTATGAACCATCAACCGCAGCCTACCATTCACAGTGGTTTTGTGTGGTCAAGAAAGATGGTAAATCACTGCGATTAGTACATGATCTTCAACCGCTGAATGCAGTAACTATCCAAGACTCATCACTCCCTCCCTTTATAGAAAAATTAGCTGAATCTTTTGCCGGGTATGCAGTATATGGTATGATGGACTTATATT